TCCTGCCCCATCCGGCGCTCCGTGCTGCTGCCCACGATGGCGAGACGGTTACCTCCCCGCCGCTGGGAAGCTCGAGGCGCCCACCCGACGGCGACATCGGCGGCGGCGGCGACGGCGGCGGCGACGGCGGCGGCGGCGACGAAGATGAAATCAGCGGCGACGGCGGCGGCGGCGTCGACGGCGGCGGCGGTCGCAGCTCGCAGCGGCGGCGGCGACGAAGACGACGACGACGGCGGTGGCGATGGCAGCGGCAGCCCCCGAAATGCCCATCCATGCCGAGCCGTCTGCTCCTCACGGGCTCATGCCCTGCCTCAGTGGTTGCACGTGCGCCTCGCCATACTCGGCACTGCTCCGGAGAACTGCTCTGCCAAACGGGGCAGACGGAGAAGAAGGAGGCAGGCGGAGAAGGCGAGAGCTGCATCCCAGCAGGCCGGGATACACGCGTGCCTGTCTCGCCGCCCCCTCGACATGCCCATCCCCCATCCTCGCCATCCCCCCTCGCCGCCTCGCCTCCACCGACCCCCCTACCCGCCTCCTCTTCCGCCTCCTCCTCCTCGTCTCCTCCTGCTCCTCCTCCTCCTCCTCCTCCTCCTCCTCCTCCTCCTCGTTTCCTCCTCCTCCTTGCCTCACTGCCCTCCCTCCTCGCCAGCTCCCCTCCTCCCTTTCGACCCCCCCGTCCTCGCGCTTCCCGCCCCTTCTGGCTCGCTCCCTCGGGGGGCGCAGCGGGGTGCGGGAGGAGGAGAGGGGGAGGGGACAGGACAAGGAGAAGGGGACAGGAGGGGGACAGGAGGAGGAGGAGGAGGGAGGGGGACAGGAGAAGGAGGGAAGGGGGAGGGGACAGGACAATGGGGAAGGGCGAGGGGGAGGGGTGAAGAGCCATGGGAGAGGGGAGTCAGGCGGGAGGGATCCCCGCCCGAGACCCTGGCCGTGGCAACATCAGGGGAGGGCTCTCAAACGATGCAGGGAGGGGCGGGCGTCTGCTGCTGCCTCTCGCTGGCCCCTCCCTGGACCAAAAAGCTCCATGCCGCAGCCCGCAGCTGTCTGAGCCGCCGTGATCTGGGAAGGCGTCACACTGCTGACCTCCGCTCGCAGCGCGCTGCGGAGAAGATCATGTGGCGACGACGTCGACGAACGCGGCGAATACGAGGACTACGGGAGACAGCACAAGCAGAAGGTCACAGCGACGGTGGCAACCGCGGCCGCAGTGATGGCCGAAGTCACGACTGTGCTGATACTGGCAGCGCAAAGGCTACAAAGATACGGCAAACCAGCAGCGAAAAGACAGCGGTTCAATGACACTGCTGGCACGCGTGGGCAGGCCTGGTCTTCCCCTAGCTCGACAACGTCCCTGGCCAGCCCGTCCTGTTGGAGCAGCAAAGGGTTCCTGCTCATGCTGGTCATACGTGTCATCCCGCTCCTCCACACCCAGATCCCTCCTGTCATACCCCTCCTCCTTCCCATATCATTCTTCATTTTAGCAACACCCCTCACCCTCAGGAAAAAGGCAAGGGCAGCGAAGGACAGGGTAGGGCAGGCGGAAGGGGAACAGAAGGAACCACGGACAGCAATAGCAGGCCAACGAGGATGAGCACGAAAAGGAGCATCAGGAGACGTACCAGATGGAGCAGGATGTAAAACACATGAAATAGGATGGCCTCTAGCAGCAAGAGTAGCAGCCGGTGACATTGATGGACATGCGGATGAGGAGGATACCGAACGGAAGGGAGGGGGAGAGGAAATAAGAAAAGAGACCAGAAGCAATGACAAGAGAACAAAGAGGCGGAGGAGCAACGACAGCCGAAGAGAAGGGGGAACGTGTGCACAAATGGCCATGGCTGGCTGCCTCGCTAGGAATGCACGCCCCACAGAAGCGGAGGGTGGGCGGACAGGAGAACCTCGAGTGGGCGGCAAACCGCCTGGTGGAGGGACGGCATGGTCGCTTCAGATCTCGGCGGGAGGAACCGCAACGCGGGGTGGGCCGACGGGGAAAGGGGGGGTCGACGGCGGCGAGAACCGAACAGAGCGACAGAGGAAAGGACCCCCGCCGAATGTCGCCCCTCCACTACAGCCTCCGATTCGCCTGCGCAACGGGCACCCGCAAAAATAAAAAGATACCTCCAAGAATACCCCAGAAAGGCCAACCAATACTCAAAAAATAGTCCCCAGACTCTTTCTGGACTATTGTTTTGACTATTTTGGGGATATCTTTTATTTTTCGTCAAAAATCCCCCTGTAGGGAGACAGGCCCGACATAACCTTAACCGGGGTCCTGGCTATACCCGAAAAAGGTTGTGGGCTTGGGCTGGGTCTGCTCCCCCTCGAGGGGCGGGCGAGGGCTCGCGGAGAGAGTGCGCCAGGGGAGCGGACGAACCCGCATGGTATACCGAAGGCCAAACTTAAGTGACAACGAAATGGGCACCGAGCGAAAACTGGATGAAAACCGAGTGAAGACTGAGCGAGGGCTGATCGGGCGTTGGCAGAACTGGGTTTAGTGGAACCTGGTTTGGTGATCTGTACTAGGGGCGCCCCCCCGTCCCATCTCCACCAACCGGAACTGCCGCCACCCGGAAAAAGCCATGGCAAACCTGCTTTCGTGATTCTGGCCAATTCGAAGGCTCCGGGGCCCTAATTACCACCGACGGGGTCCTCTCACCCGGGGTGCTGGCCATGCCCGGACTACGTGAGGATTCGGTGACGCGAACTGGTCGCGCGAGCAAAAAAAAACTAAGTGAGGATTCGGTGACGCGAATTGGTCGCGCGAGCAAAAAAAAAATGGCAGAGCTTCAGACAGCGAGCTCTGGTCAGAGGGGCTGAGAGCACCAGAGCGGCCACCGCCGCGGGGGCGCGGCGGCGGGAGCCCGTCCTCGTCGGACGCGGCCGGGGTCCACTGGAGGCCGGGACTCTTTGCCGCGGAGGGGGAGGCGGGCGGGGGCAGGGGCAGGGGCAGCAGCAGCGGCAGGGTCGTGGACGACTGCGAGGCAGAGCTGGGCGGGGAGGGGCTGGGGAGGAGGACGGGAGCCGAGGGGGACGGGAGGGAAGGATCAGGCCGTGGACGACGGGGGCAAAGACGAGGAGGAGGATGAGAGAGAGAGAGAGAGGGGGAGGAGAAGGCGGAGGAGGTGGAGGAGAAGGGGAGGAGGGGAGGAGGAGGAGGAGGAGGAGGAGGAGGAGGAGGAGGAGGAGGAGAGGAGGAGGAGGAGGAGAAGGAGGAGGTAGAGGAGGAGGAGGAGAGAGGAGGATGAGAGAGAGGAGGAGGGAGGAGGGAGGAGGAGGAGGAGGATGAAGACGGGGGAGGGCTACGAGGAAGCTGGCGCCAAAACGCTGGTGGAGAAGAGCCGTGCCCCAGGCCGCACACCCGCAGCTGCGCAGCTCAACCGATGCACACGGCACGGGACGGCCTGCCGCCCAGAACCGTCTGGCGACGCTGGCCTCGCGAAGGCCCCCTCGCGCGCTCCACCTCCGCCTCTGCCTCCTCCTCCTCCTCCTCCTCCTCCTCCTCTTCCTCCTCTTCCTCCTCTTCCTCCTACTCCACCTCCTCCTCGTCCGACACCCCCCCTCCGCCTCATCCTCCCTCATCCCCCTCCCTCACCACCCGTGTTTGTCATTATCCGCTTTCTTCTCGGTTCCTTTTTCTTCTTTCTCCTCCTCCTCCTCCTCCTCCTCCTCGTCCTGCTTCTCCTGTTCCTCCCCGTCCTGATCCTCAAACACCTCCTGATCTGCCTTCTCGCTCCAGTGCCACCTCCCACCGGGGGGCGATTGCCCGACAAGCGTCGTGGACCGAACCCTTGGGCCCCGGGCTCCCCTGCGGAGGGGACGCGGGGAGGAGGGGAAGGAACAAGGGAAGAGGCAGGAGGCGCGAGGAGTCAAGGAGCAAAAGCGCGGGAGAGAGGCGGGGCGGGAACGAGGACGGGGAGGAAGTGGGGCACGCAGGGAAGGAGTGTCAGAAGCGGGGGGAGGGGTAGGGGAAGATGTGTGTGTGTGTGTGACGCTACGAGCTTTGTCTCCGCGGCTTGCCTGAGGTACCAAGAAAAGAGGAGGGGATCTGGGCGCTCGAAACGACGGAGGGGGCCACGACGGGCGAGCCAAGAGGGCGGGCGAAGGCGAAGGGAGGGGTCGGGCCACCCCGACCCCTCCATACACCCCTGCCCTTCCACGCTTCTCCTCCGCCGCCGCCGCCGCCGCCCCCGCCGCCGCCTCCGCCGCCGCCTCCTCCTCCTCCTCCTCCTCCTCCTCCTCTCCTCCTCCTTCTCCTCCTCCTCCTCCTCCTCCTCCTCATACTCTTCCTCCTCCTCCTCCTCCTCCTCCTCCTCCTCCTCCTCCTCTCTCTCTATCCTCCTCATGCTCCTCTTTGTGCGCCTCACCTCCCCCTCACCCCGACGGCCCTCTCCCTCCCTCCCTCCCCGCCTCTTCACCCCGTCTCAATCCTCGTCCCCCTCTGTCCCCTGGCACTGTCCTCCAACCCATGATTCCTCCCCGCCCCCTCCCTTCCCCCTCCTCTTATCCGTTACAATGCGCATCCACGGCCACGTCTACCCCTACCCTTACCATTTCCTCCGCCTGCTGCTCCCACGTCTCAGCCCTCCCCTCCCGTCCTCAAACCCGGCACTCGTCCTCCTCGTCCTCCTCATCCCCCTCATCCTCCCCGCTCTTGATTCCCCTTTCCCGCGTACTGATCTTTTCGGCCACCTCCTCCTCCCTCTCCTCCCCCTCCTCCTCCACCCCATTCCTCCGTCTTCTGTCCTCATTGCTCTTCACTCCTCTCCATTACTACAATCCTTCCTCCCCCTTATTCTTCTTCCTCTTCTTCCTCCTCCTCCTCCTCCTCCTCCTCCACCGCAGCCTCAGCCTCCTCCTCCTCCTCCTCCTCCTCCTCCTCCTCCTCCTCCCCGTCACGATCTCCTCCTCCTCCTCCTCCTCCTTGCCTCGCCCCGCTCCTGCCCGAACCTGCCGGCGCGCGCGCAGAGGAACAGCGCGGGCCTCGGACGAGAAGTCCGCCGAACCCCGCGCGCGCAGGGGCTCCCGAGGCGAGCGAGAAAAGCGAGCGGGCCGCCCGTGCTGCGGGGCCCACCGCCATGGCATCGTCTGCACGTAAGACCGACCAGCCGTAACTGGGGGAGCTGCGGTCCTTACCCCTCCTGGGGGAACCATCGCCTCGACGATCTCTCGAGAGGGGTGTCGAAATCGATGGCTCCCCCAGGGGGGGAAGGACCACAGCTCCCCCAGTTGTGGCTGGCCTGTAAGAAGAGTGGCCCGAGGCAAGTGTGGCCTCTGCTGAGCAGGGGCCGACCGTCCCAGCATCTCTGCAAGCCTACCACGACGTGCTCCTGGAGCCCAACAAAACATGTGCTGAGAACGAGCAGGTGTTCTCAGAACGTGGGCCCGATGTGAGGTGGCAAAACAGGAAGTCTCGCCCAAACATGTTCCAACAGCAGCTCATGCAAACCGCCCGGGCTGCACCCAAACGGTGTTCTTCGTTTTCGTTTTGTTTTCGCTTTCCCTCGCGTTGTCTTCAGTCCGCCTCTACCGCAGAACGAAGTCGAACCGAAAATGGCCCACGAAAACGCCAAAGCACCGTTTGGGTCCAGCCCTGCAAACCACAACTGCGGGACGGGGAAATGACTACAGCCACTGCTTCTTGCTTGCGCCGCCGTCCAGCCGGCCGAAAAAGAAGCAGTGGTTGTGGTCGTTTCCCTGGTGCCAGGCTTAACGAAAATGACCACAGCCACGCAGACACACACACACACACACACACACACACACACACACCACACACACACCACACACACAGAGACTTGCGGGAAGCCGCGCGGGCACCTCGGATCTGCGCTGGAGCCCCCATCCCCGGGGGGGCCCAGCGCCGACTCACGAACTCCGCGCTGACCTCCGACGGTTCCTGCCCGCAGCTTCTGGAGAGCACCTGGAGACCAGGAACGCCATTGGGAGCCGAGCCACGGAGCTGAAAATGTTTGGCAGTGAAAACGGCATAGGACGGGCCGCAGAGGCAAGGGCGCAAGGGCACCCTGGATGAAGGCGCGCGTCCTCACTAGGCGCGTTGACTGCACCATTCTCAATGGACTTTTTCGCGTCGGCGGCGAGGCGGAGTTCCTGCGCCAGCGGTCGGGCCAAACGGGGCCGCGAGGCCGAAGAGCGAAGTGCCCCGCGTGCAGGAGGAGAGGCGGAGACAGACAGGGCGGCCGCGGAGGGGAGAAGGGGGGCCCTCCCCCCCCCTCCCGAAAGGAAGCCTTCGGCGGGGACCGTGGCAGCGGCCGGGCCCGGCCGGGCCGCGGTGTCGGTGCCACTCTCAACGTGCACGCTATGTGAATAAAACGACGCGAAGATCGGGACAAAATCGGATCGGGACAACTCGAAATCTCTGAGAATCGCCAAGTTGGGAGGATGTATTGGGCGCCGCGGCCGCTCCAGAGCGTTCCGGAACGCTCTGAGAGCGCTCCGGAACGCTCTGGATCGATATATCCCGATCCTAGCCCTGTTTTAGTGAATGAGCCCCCCCCCCTTTTAGACGCACGTGCTGCTTCCTGGAGTCCTGGCTCGCGCGTGCAGAGAGAGCAAATGCCGAATGCCACCGCCTGGGGCTCGCCTTCCGGCGCGCGGGCTCGGCCTGGACCTTTGCCTTCTCGAGCCACGGACCCTTCGACTACGTCGGGCGTGTCCCCCTACAGGGGGATTTTGGGCGAAAGATAAAAAAATCTTCAAAAAATACCCCCCACATGCTCGAAAATAGTCAAAAAAGCGTCCCTGGACCATTTTTGGACTATCTTTGAATGTTCCTCCTGTAGAGGGACAGACCCGACTTAACCCTTCGACCAGGCGACCAGGCGGCCCTCACTGCCGGTGCGGATGCGCTCTCTCGGACCCACGGGCTCCGGGGTGAGGCCACGCGGCGGCACGCGGCGCAGCGTCACGGATAGCCCGCCGTGTCCTTCTCCACGAAGGCCATGACCCTGAGGCTGGCCACGGCCCGCGCGCGCGCGCTGAAGCCGAAGATGAGCACCTCCTGGGTCTCGGGCTCCTGCCGGCGGTAGCTCGCCCCCCCTCCGCATCTTCCTTGTCAATTTCCTCCATTTGACTCCTCCTCCTCCTCCTCCTCCTCCTCCTCCTCCTCCTCCTCCTCATCCTCATCCTCATCCTCATCCTCATCCTCATCCTCATCCTCATCCTCATCCTCATCCTCATCCTCATCCTCCTCATCCTCATCCTCATCATCATCATCATCATCATCATCATCATCATCATCATCATCATCATCATCATCATCAGCATCATCATCATCATCATCATCATCATCATCATCATCATCATCATCATCATCATCATCATAGCCATCATCAGCAACAACGCCATCACCAGCATCACCATCACCACCAGCATCATCATCATCATCATCATCATCGTCGTCATCATCATCATCAACATCATCATCATCATCATCAACCCGTCATCGTCACAATCACCGTCACCATCACCATCACCATCACCATCATCATCACCATCGCCATCAACACCACCATCACCATCACCATCACCATCACCATCACCATCATCATCATCACCATCGCCATCACCATTATCATCATCATTATCATCATCATCATCTTCCGCATCACCATCATCACCATCATCATCATACCAACAACACCATCACCATCAACCTCAACATCAACACTAAATTCCTCCTCCTCATCCTCATCCTCATCCTCATCATTATCATCATCGTCAGCATCATCATCATCATCATCATCATCATCAACGTCAGCATCATCATCATCATCGACGTCAGCATCAACCTCAACACCAACATCAACATCAACAACAGCATCAACATCAGCATCGGCATCAGACTCATCATCTCCATTATCACCATCATCGTAATCATCGTCACCATAATCATAACCATCACGATCACCATCGTCAATATCACTATCATCGTTATCATTATCATCATCATCATCAGCATCACCAGCATCAGCAGCATCATCATCATCAGCAGCAGCATCAGCATCAGCAACATCATCATCATCATCATCATTATCATCATCATGAACCTCATCATCATTATCATCATCATTATCATCATCAACATCATCATCACCATTATTATCACCATCATCATCGTGGTCATCGTCATCGTCATCGGCATCATCATCACCATCATCAACATCAGCACCATGACCATGACCATGACCATGACCATGACCATCATCACCATCGTCATCATCATCATCATCATCATCATCATCATCATCACCGTCAACATCAACATCAACATCATCATCAGCATCATCACCATCTGCGAGAAAGGGGAGAAAGGGGGACAGGAAGAGGCCCAGACGAAAGCAAGATGGGAGCGAGAGGAGGGCGGAAGGGTGGGCAGGAGGAAGGCACGAGGAGTGCGAAAGGAAAGTGAGAGAAGGCCTAAGGTAGGCAAGACGGAGGCTGCAAGAGTCTGAGCCGAAAGGGAAATAGCCTTACATTCGCCACCGTGCCCATGAGGCACGATTTGGAATGTCCTTCAGGTCCTTTGCTGGACCCCCAGAAACTTCAGCCCTCAATCCTGGGGATTTGTAACAGGCCTGGACCTACAACAGCCGTATCTCGTGGGACGCGCCGCGTGGCCCCAGCCAGTGGCAGCGGGCGGCCGTATGCGTCTCCCCCACCCGGTAAAACGCGTCGTGGCGGGGAACTCCACCGAACGTTCTGGTGGCCGCAAGCGCATGCGTCACTCCCACCCAGGACTGCGCTGCGTGACCCCATGCGGAGCTCCACCGAAAGCCCCCACTGGCCACGGCCGCAAGCGCCGCCCCCACCCACTACAATGCTTCGTGGCCCCATAGGGAGCCCCACCGAACGCTTCAGCCGCCGCGGCCGCATGCGTCCCCACCACCCATCACAGGCCACCCCTTCACGCGTTCCGTGGCCCCATGCGGAGCTCCACCGAAAGCTGTACCCACAACGTAAGAATCATTCGTGCAGATGGCCGGGTACTTCGCTAAGATATATGTCTACCGGGAAATGAGAAATCCTGAGGCGGCACGGCGTCCTGTACCATCGCTGGAACGAATCCCTACCGTCCTGCTGTTACCCTCCTCCATCACCTTGTCTTCCCCCCTCCTCCTCCCCCTGGTCCTCTGCGCTGCGCCTTTCCCTCCTCCGTCCTCCCCCCCTCGTTCTGCAATGGTCCCGCTCTGACCACCGCCCTGATAACAATCCGTGGTGTTAGCCTCTTCGCGTCCTCCGATCACACGCACACTCGGGTCGACGTTGGGGTTGAAGCGCTCGGGCAAGGGTATCGTGCGATGCTGATCACGTTCGTCTCGATGTGAAGAACGGTGTTCCTAGGTAGCGGGTGCAATCACTGCCCTGCGGTTCCCAGCTGTTCGTCAGAAGGTATTGCAGTTGTGAGCGGGAGCAATAGCTTGAGCAATAACAATTTCGAAGGAAAAGTTATGGGAATATGGGAAACATATATGATGAACCCCTCGGGCTTGGAGCTCTGATAATTTCTCGGGGAGACCACCAAACATGGATAAAGTGCAAACGGAGGAGGGGGATACGATGCGCCGTGAAACGCGGGAAACATGAAGACGGGATCCTGGGGAGCCGAAACATGATTTGTAAGTATACACCGGCGCTCCGAAAGTTTATTCCGATTTAAGAGGCACGGCGCCGCGCGAATGCAGCGTCAACGCTATGCTGGAAGGGCGCGGCAATGAATGTCTTTGGACAGGCGAAAGCAACCGCGCCCCCGTGCGAACCCCGATCCCGCGCGGGGCGCGTTCCCGTTGACAATGAGTCACCCGGGAAGCCGTTTCTTGCGCAGGAAATCCTAAGCGGTTTGCCCATCGGCGGCTCCTTCGGACGAGGCCCGGAACCACCGAGAAACCGTTTTTGAGAGGAAGTTCCCCATGTTCGGTTTCTTTGGAGTGGGCCCGAAGACCTCGAGAACGATGTTTTTACAATGGGTCCTAGGCGGTTTGCACATTTTCGGGTCGTTCGAACCGGACCCGATTTTTGTGACCGACGTCTTATGGGATTTGGCCACTTTGAGGTCGGCCGGTAAACTTTTCGGGTCGTCGCATGACCGGACCCGAAAGCTTTTGTCGAGGAGGTCCGATGCCGCCGTTTGGGATTTAGAATTAAATTGGGAAAGGGGAGCCCGATACCGCGACCCCGGGGGGGGGGGCTAGGCTCTGCCCTTGCATTGTGCCGGGCCCCTCCGGCCAAACGGGGTGCTGGGCTGCCCATCGGCGCGCCGACTCTGCCCTCGCGACATCGCCCCCATCCGCCCTCGGGCCCCGCGAGTCTTATCCTGCGCGCGCCACCCCAGATGGCCGCGGCGAGCACGGTGGCGAAATTGGGGAGGCTGTTCGGGTCGGCGCAGCAGGGGAACTCTCACGCACGGCCTCTGGGGGCATCCGTCGCAAGTAAGCTCTAGTCTAGCACGCAGGCGAGGCTGCGAATTGCACGCAGGAGGCTCTGTCTCGATGTTACCGCATCGAAAGCTGCCGCTGGATTCTAACATTCACAGAGAGCACTGTGCGCGGGAGAGCCCTTACTGTGCCACGCAGGGCATAACGTCCTGCAGGCATAGCCTGCTTGTAATCGATGGACCCCTCCCAGAAAAGAGCCCCCCCCACCGGCGGTTCATGCTCGTCTTCGGTGGGAATTGGTTCCGTGATCTAGCTTGTCGGCGCCCCCCCGCCTTGTGTTTCCAGGCACTGCGGCGCAGGGGGTCATCCGCAAGCCTCCAGCGTTATCTTGAAAGAGAGAATTCACGTAGCAGCTTAGCTGCACAATTCTCGGTGAGTCCGTCGACTACCATGGCGTCACTGTGAACCCTGTGAATCTGCTGCCCAGTCTGCTGCTTCTGCTGCCTGATGCCCACGCACTCGATGCTCGCCCCCTTTGTCTCGCGAGAGGGGCGAGAGCGGCGCCGGCGAAGCAATTTCACCGCCGTGGGATTCTCCATTGACGCGCGCCGCCCACGCGGCGTCACCCCAGCCGACCACGGCAACCAGCTCAACGGCGGGGATGCCCATGACAACATCCGTGGGGTCGTTGGCAGTCTGGATGAGCTCGTTGACCCTGTGGGTCGCGAAGCCAATTGGCGCGGGAATCCAAGCCTGCAACGCAAAGCCACGGCGCCGACTGCTGAGCTCTCCAGCCAACTGCATCAAGTCGCCCACGAAGGTCAGCGCGCTCCTTGTCGGCGACTCCTTCTGTAGGCTTCCACTCCCTTCTCATCTTGACCGGCCCCCAGTTCCAGTTGCAATTGTCCCGGGCCTGGCTGCAAGTGAAGTCGCCGCACTGGCGGATGCCGACGCCGGGCTGGACGAAGGCCCGGCGCAACCACTGCGACCGCTCGACCGCCTCATGGACATCCTCTCCCTTCTTTTGGATGGCCGCGATGGAGTGGGGCCCGGCGATCATCGCGTCGTCATTGCCGGCGAGCCGGCCAACTTGCCGTCGCCCCTGATGTCAGACACGTGTCTCACGCAGAACAGATTCCAGGCCCAGCTTGATGACCGACCCAATGAAGTGGAACCACTACTTGCGAGGAGCACGCACGCGGCCGTAGATGGGCTTGAGAAGGTGAAGGACCTGATCGCTGATCATACCCACAGCTTGTCGCACATCCTTGAGCAGGTCCGCGTAGAATGTGTCATTCCCCAGGTCGCTCTTGCCTCGCAGAATGCCGCCCGCAGCGGCGTCTGCCTTCTCTAGCTTCCACGTGCGTCTGGCCGCCTTGGCCAGCTGCAACTGCCGCGCCCTCCTCGACGCAACTGGGGGCTCCGTCTGGAGACGCGGCAGATCAGAGTCGCCAAAGCCGAGGGCGACCAATCGTGCGCCTCCGCGAAGAAAGCGCCCCATTCCCCTCCTTCTTCCACGCGAGCATGAAGCGACGGCGTAGTAGACGCGCTGGCCCCGCGCCCCCCCCGCTGAGAAGCCGGGCGGCCTGGGCGGAGAGAACGAGAAAGCACATCTTCTGCTGCGCCTCGAGCAACATCCTTCGTCTCCTCGGGAATCGCCTTTTGATCGAATAAAGCGAAATCTCCACTCGGCCCTTCTGGGCCCGGGGCGCGACGAAGCGCTCGGATCCCCTGCGCGGGACATGAAGGCGCGCTCGTTATCGTTGGGTGCGAAAATGCCATGAGCTCGTCGTCCTCCGTGACCTCGTCGCGCGGCTGGGCGCAGTCGGCGGAGCCCCCGTCGCCCTCGGCTTTGGCGAGGCCTTGATCGCGGCGTTGATCGGCAGTTCCATGGCAGGTCGCCCAAACACCCCGACGTGATCCGGAGCCCTCCTGCCTGATATTCGGTTCTCCTTCCTGGTCGACGGCGAGCTCCCCGGACTCCGAACCATCGGGGAACAGGCGTATACGTGACGAAGGCGGCTCCATGTCATTGCGTTGACCTGCGACGGGAGAATAATCGTCGCCGACCTCGATGGAAGTCGCCTCGTCTCATTCGGCAGGACCGAATGGCTGAATTGGTCCAGGTCGTTGGGCTTCAGCCGGTGGAGGTGCCCAGGTGGTGCTCCGGGTGGTGCTTCCTGAAGGGTCGAATCTCGCCCGCCCTCCGGCGTCCGCGGGTTGGTCTGCTGGCGCAGCCGCTTCGTAGGTGGTGATGTTGGTAACCGAGATTAGGAAGATGACAATCTCCCGGTGCCCACTGCGCCGTAACTCTCTGGAACTCCTCGCGGAGGCAGGGGTCTGTCGTCGTCGTCGACCGCCCGCGGCCCGCCCGCCCGGACTGCCGTCAAAGGCGCAGGCGCCGACCGACCCCCCGCCGTCAACTGCGAGGTCGTCACCGGTAGGCGGGGGGGGGGTCGCTGGACAGGTCGATGACTTCGCCAGTGCCGAGCTGCTTCTGAACTTCCCAGGAGGTCCACGACCCCCGCGGCTCACTCCTCGAGCGCAGAGCCTCCACGGCCTCATCGGACGGGGCAGCAGGGTGAAGCTGTTCAGGGGCAACTCAATTGTCAACAGAGCCACCCAACCAGCGCGGCGTTGACCGCCGTTCCAGGCAGACCAGGTCGGCGTCAAGAACTAGCAGGCTCACGACATAGAACTGGCCCAGGACCGCGGCACGGGGCGCGGTTGGCCCTTCTATCTCCCGGTTCTGGGAGGGGGCCGACGGCTCGCAAAAGCTATGCCGCCAGTTTCGTACTCCTTCAAAGACCTGAACTTTGCGGCCTCGGCTCCGTTGACTCCGTTGGAGTCCGCCGTCTGCTGCCGTCTGAAGCCCAAACGTCTCGGACTTTTTAGGCGCATCCGAGGAAGTCATCTCGTCGGAGGCATGGGGGGGCCCTCGCAGGCGTCGATGGCGCGCTTGATTTCGCCGACCTGTTTGCGCGCATCGGCGGCGCGGCGCAGGCAATCGACGCCGCGACGTTCGACCCACTCTCGCATTTCATCTGAGATGGCACTTCCCGCGGGGCCGTCGTGCACGACCTTCGGGCGCCCCGCCCACAGATACCATTTTGCCGCGAAAACGCGACGTGGGTCACTCGCTCGAGCTCGGCGTGACTGGCCGGGGATCTCCGTCTCGTGGATCAGCCGCGCGCGCTGAATATCGGATCCAGCGACCAAGATTACCAGAACAATGGCGTTGGCGATCTTGCTGCGCCGCATCCACGAGAAGGCGTCCAACAGCACCTCATGTCTGTTCTGGGGCAGCCATGCCTGACGATGCCGGAGGCCTCTCCGAGCGTGGCCGATGGGGGTGGCGAGCAATGCATGTCTTCTGGTCGAGCCCCGCGGTCTCGTAGACAGCGTCACAGGTTAGCACGTGGCAGGTGCCCGAGGTTCGCGCGCGCCAGCCGAACGTAGCTCTCAGGCTTCTAGATGGTATCCTCCTCGAGGTCGCCCTTGTCCTTGCCGTCCATCGGTGGGTCTGACACTTCTTCAGCGAATGGAAAGGTCGGTTCTGCTGCCAGGCAGCGGCGGCGCACACACCTCACCGGAATGGTTCAGGTTGGCACTCCTCGCGAGCGCACTCAGGGTTCGCCTGCGCGGCATCTTGGGATAGCGGCCTGAAGCTTCGGCCCTCTGGCTGCCCTCGATGACCTCGTGATAATGGCCGCCTCGACACCGGAAAAGCTGTAGGGCAGTCTGGATCCGCTTGTCGTTGGCTCAGAACTTCCTGCGCCCCGCATGAGCTCCCCAATGTCTCGAACTTTTGAGGCCGCAGGCGCATCCATCCACAATGACCTCGTAAGGCAGCGGCTTGTGGCTTGTAAGGCAGCGGCTTGTGGAGGCAATGGCCTTGTGTGGCCGTGACATTCGTGTCGATGTTTGGGACGATGCGTTCGGGCAAGGGTCTTCTGCGATACTGATCACACTTGTGACGATGGGCAGGACTGAGCTTCTGGGCTACAAGTGCAATCGCTGTCCCGCGGCTCTCAGCCCTTCGTCTGGAAATCCTGCAGCTGCGAACTACAGCAAAGGCTTGAGCTAAAACAGTTTCAGGAGGAAGCGTTTTGGAAGCATGTGACACACGTATATGGGTCCTCTCGGGCTTAAGTTGCTGCGAGGGCTCTCGGGGAGACTACTAAGCATGGCCAAACAGCACGCGGAGTGGGGGAACACGACACGCCGTGAAACGCGGGCAGCATAAAGACGAGCTCCTGGTGAGCCTGGAAAGAGTTTACATGTGTATGGACATTGTCACGCACGGCCTCTGGGGCCATCTGTCGTTTCGAGATAGTCCTTTGCACCTTGGTTTCCAAACTGTTCCCAATTTTTAAAAATGGATTGTCATCCTGGCACGGCCCCAGATTTCGGTGAGGCTTGGTGCGCGCAGCCCGATGTAACCCAAGCGGATGCGTTTCGCGAAGGGGAAGCGTACATGATGGCAACTGTACTCAGCACGGCCACCAAGTGTTCAATGCCGCTGGGCTTGCTGCTTGCATGAAAGAAAATAATATGTTTGCGCGTGTCAGTGGCGGAGTTGGCCAGTTTTGTCTTCTGACCTCAGGTGCGGCAGAGCACCTGGCAGCAATCGCAGTGAGCAGCACGGCGAATTTTGCCCAAGCTATCTGTTCGGACTCCAGAGGCGAACTCCAACTGCATTCGGGGATCTTCTGACCCGGGTCAATCCAGACCTGGGTCAGTCAGGCCTTGTGCAATCCTGCAAGATCCTGCGCCCAAACCCGGGTCAATGCGAAGGATCCTGCAGGATCCTGCACCCAAACCCGGGTCAATGCGACCCTGGCCCTGCAGCATCCTGCAGGATCGGACGCTCTGGCTGACCCCCGTTTGCATCGACCCCCGTCTCAAGGCTACCGATGCATGGCGGCGAGGACTACTCCGGGCGTAGGTTGTGGGCAAGGACTCGGTGCTCGCGGGGTTCGCCCCTTTGAGACCGCGCCCGCGAAAAGTAGCAGCCTGAAGCTCACCAGGACACGCACGCCCTACCCACAGGAGGCGAGGCAAGAAAGCCAGCGGAAGGCAGCGACGCTGGCAACCGCCTGGCCGAGGCGGCAGCACCTGGAGGCGTGCAGCCCAGCGAAGCCGAAAGGCAGTCCTTCGAGCGTGATCTGCGGGCGGGAGGAGCGTCGCAGAGGTGCGGCTGGGGCCCTCGGTGAGCGTCCCGCCATTGCCCCCCGAATGTACAAGGCCCTGGCTGCACCTGTGAGCAGCCTGTCGCCTCCCACTCGTGCTCCTCCTCCTCCTTCTCCTCCTCCTCCTCCTCCTCCTCTTCCTCCTCCTCCTCCTCCTCCTCCTCCTCCTTGCGTCATTCTGTCCTTCCATCCTTCCCTCCTTCCCTCTCCCCCCTCCTCCTTTTCCTCCTCCTCCCTTCCTCCCTTCTTCCCTTCCTCACTTCCTCCCTTCAATCCCTTCCTACCCTCCTCCTCCTCCTCCCTCCTCCTCCTCCTCCTCCTCCTCCTCCTCCTCCTCCTCCTCCATCCCCCATCCCCCTCCCCCTCCCAAATCTGGTCACGCGCCCGTCTGTGTTACGCCCTCCTCCTCCTCCTCCTCCTCCTCCTCCTCCTCCTCCTCCTCCTGCGCCGCCCGCCCCCCGTGAGCGCCCCCTCCGAGACCAGCGGGTCCGCGGTGATCGTGCGTGTCCCCCGGGACCGCCAGAGGCGCACCCTCTGCCGCAGCGAGGCTGCAGGACGCGCACTGCAAAAGCGGCACAGTGCGCTGTCTGATGCCCGCTGTCCTGGCCACTGGCTGCTGTGGGCATCGCTCGGACCTGGTCGGAGAGACGTGGGGTGAGAGGGAGGGCGAGGCGGGGGCGAGGAAGGAGGGGGGGAGAGGACGTGGGAGCCAGGAGGGAGGTGAGGCGGAGGCGAGAAAGGAGGGGGAAGACGTGGAAAGGGAGAAGCGGAGAAAGGGGGTCCTCGACAGCGACAGCATCAGGAGGAGGCGGAGGACGAGGACGGGGGGGGAGGAGGAGGGGGGAGGAGGAGGAGGAGGAGGAGGAGGAGGAGGAGGAGGAGGAGGAGGAGGAGGAGGAAGAGGAGGAGGAGGAAGAGGAGGAGGAGGAGGAAGAAGGGGAGGAGGAAGAGGAGGAGGAGACAGACAGACAGACAGACAGACAGACAGACAGACAGACAGACAGACAGACAGACAGACAGACAGACAGACAGACGACAGACAGACAGACAGACAGACAGACAGACAGACAGACAGACAGACAGACAGACAGACAGACAGACAGACAGACAGACAGACAGACAGACAGACAGACAGACAGACAGACAGACATACTACACCGTACAAACGACAGCGTGCATACATCTACTCACGTGCGCGCACACAGCCAAGAGGGCAGGGCAGTGGATCGCGGCGCTGATCTCCGAAGCGAGGGCAAAGCTCCTGGTAGGCGTCCTGCTTCCAGTCGTTGTTGTTCCACCACTCCTTCCGCCGCTCCACTTTGGGACCGTGTGATTGCAAAATGCGATGTAACAACGAACGGCCTAGACACGCCCGATCCACTCGAGCCAAGTACCGTGTCCGTCCCGCTTGCGCGTGCATGGGGACCCTTGCAGCTTCGAGGCCGCGCGACTGCCATGCTCCTGGGCATGTCGAGGGCCAGTAGCTCGTCCACGCTTCGGGCACGCACACGCAGCATGGGCAATATGAGATTCCGTTCACGCGATGTGATGTGCTTCCTGAGCCCCTTCCACCGCCTCCCCCTCCTCCGCCTCCTCCTCCTCCTCCTCCTCCTCCTCCTCCTCCTCCTCCTCCTCCCTCCTCCTCTCCTCCTCCTCCTCCTCCTCCTCTCCATCCCCCCATCCCCCTCCCCCTCCCCCTCCCACATCCCCGCCGTCCTCCTCCTCCTCTTCCTCCTCCTCCTCCTCCATCCTCCTCCTCCTCCTCCTCCTCCTCCTCCTTTCCTCCTCCTCTCCTCCTCCTCCACCGCCTCCTCCTCCTCCTTCTCCTCCCCCTCCCCCTCCCGCTCCTCCTCCTCCTCCTCCTCCTCCTCCTCCTCCTCCTCCGTCTCCTCCTCCTCCTCCCCTGTATCCGCCTCCTCC